TATGTATGTATGTATGTATGTATGTATGTATGTATGTATGTATGTATTTTTTTGCACGTCTTTTTCCATCAGTTGGCTCTTCATGAGAACATTTGTCTCAGACCTTTGCTCCTTTGGAACACGCAACGAGCAGCCAGCCGCGCCGTGACTTTGATCTCCCCGTTGACGATTTTGGTCCTCGAATGGCAGCGACTGCATTCCAGCGAAGTGCCTTTGCGCTGCATAGTATGGGAGCCGTGCCCGGGCCATTCGTCTGGCTGCACGGGGCCCACATGGCATGGCTCTGCGACGAACTTGTTGAAGGCATCTTCATTGGTTCGCGCTAAAATGTAGCTCTTGCGTTCACTGCAGCGTAGGTACGCTCGGTCCAGCTTCAAGTGGTGGATGCCGGGCTGAGGTGCTTGTTGGGAGGCCACGAGGGCATGGATCTTCTCCATTCTGGGGGCACACCATCACAGGTGACCTTAGAATTGCCAAGATTATGGACTAACACATATTTTAGCTATTCTATACCCAGCAGACCTCAACCCTCTGTCAAGATCTTGCGCGGAAAGGCCTTGCACGACTTGCGTGCGTGTGCGTGGGTGTGTGGTATGTATGTATGTATGTATGGATGGATGGATGGATGGATGGATGTATGTATGGATGTATGGATGTATGGATGTATGTATGTATGTATGTATGTATGTATGTATAAATATACACACATATGACATATACATGCATTTGTGGGTGTATTACTAATACGCATGCCTTGGAGGGACCAAGATCTCAGCACCAGGATTGTAGGATAACGCAGGCAGGATCTATCTACTATATATATATATATACATCGTTATATCAGCATGTATCACCTAATCACCTACACTAATCCTCTGGTACAGCACGTCGACAATATTCCATTTTCTCGCACAAACATGTTTTTGGAATCATCTTGTAAAGCACGTCAAATTGCGCCAGCATAGAGCCCAAACAGTTTCGACATTCTGTTTGTTGGCCCATGTGGGCGGTAACGTCTGTGTTGGGGGCGGCGTGGAAAGAAAGCGTGTTAGAAAACAATAGTTCGTGTCACGCGCAGACACAAAAGGACATTTGATATATGTCATGAGAACATCCGAGGATGATATCAAACGCTGCATCACTGTTGCGTTCACAGCCACACGAAAACGGCGTGAGGACAAGAGAAGGGACCAGCACGGCCAAAGAATAGCAGGAAGAAAAGCGGAGGAGGGCCAGAGAAGGACACAGGGTTCGCCAGCGCGGCCACTACAGGTTCGCCAGCGCAGCCAGAGCCCAGCAGGAAGACAAGAGGAGGACGCAGGACAGCAGGAGCACACCAGAGGACACGCTTGGCAGTCTGTCGAGTTTTTTTGCCAAGAGAGGTTTGGTGGGAAAAAACGTTTTTCTGTCCAGCTGCTGTTGAAAAACAATCATGTCACGACACCTTTCCAAAAATGTTCTCTCTCTCTCTCTTCACAGGTGACATCTCTTTCCAAACCTCTGGGTTCTCTGCAAACATCTTGTCACCGATGACATGGTGGATGTAGCCATGGAACCTCGTCGACGCAGCCGAGCGGAGCTGAGGTACGCCAGCGTAGACCCCAGATAGCAACAGCGGTGCCAGCACCCGAAACTCAAAGCGCATGGGCGTCGCAGCAGCACCCTCGAGCGACACCCTGCAGCGGCACCAACGTCAAAGCGCACCGAACCAGCATCCAAGGCGGCCAAACATCCCAAGCGCGTACACCCTGCAGCGGCACCGGCACCCAAGCGCACGCAGCAGCGGCACCCCACCGGCACCAGCAACCAATGCTCCCAAGAGCACGCACAGCAGCGGCGCCAGCGCCCAACCTTGGCACCAGCGCTCAAGCTCCCAAGCACGCACCTAGCTTCCAAGAGAACGCACAGCAGGCGCCGGCCCTGTGCAGCGGCGCTAGCACCCAAGTGCATACAGCAGCGGCACCAGCGCCCAAGACTCCAAGCGCACACAGGAGCTGGCCTGGCAGCCGCACCAGCACCCAAGCGCACACAGCAGCGGCCTGCAGCGGCACAGCACCCAGGCTTGAAAACGCATGCACGCAACTCGGCCTATACTTGAAGTAAGAACCCCAAAGGCTCAAACTATCTGGGGCAAAGTCTTCGAACCAGGCCTCTCTCCCTCCAAGACTGCCTCCTGAGGAGTCTCCTGGTCAAGTCAAGGTTGGTCAACGTGGAGTGCATATTCTTGTCCAGACAAATCCCAGCAGCACTCTCCAAATACCAGCAAGACATTAACAACGCTGTCCTGCGCTGATCGCTTCCGCTTCGCATTCATGAGGCTTCAATTCAAAGCGCTGAACAGAGTGACGCCGTACGGCACTTCGCTGCATTCAGTGGTGTGGCTGACCGCTCGCTTGCTCAATCGAAAGAACTGGTAAAGATCGCAGAGACAGCCCAACTTGAGACATACCAACTGAGACACGCCGTCTAGTGACATCTAGCGTGCGTACATCAAATTTGGGGACGCCCCTTCCCAGCTTGAGACACACCGTAGCAAATCGATAGACCTGTGGAACATCTGGAGAGAAAGTTTGGCTCGGGCAGATCTCTAAAACTTTGGAGGTTCGTTACTTACGTTTTGAGCCAATCGAAAGTTGTGAAATAAGTGCTGCCAAGAAGAATAGGAGCATCTACGACGAAAAATTGCAATCTTCCTTTTCATGTCCCTACATGGAGCCAATATGTGTACATAGAGCCAAACGCTACAAATGGCAAGCACCATTGGGGCCAAACCCGAAGACCAGTGGATTTACACTAAATGCGTCTACGTACAAGTAACACGACAACACAACTAACCAGAATGGACCGACCTTGACCCAACAAATTATCCAACGTGCCTCTTCCTGCGCCTTGGTCCAACGAGCTTCCCACTCATTCTTGATTTCCTGCGCAAATGGACTAGAAACGCCACGGATGAATGGAAGAGTGATTCATCCGAAAGTAACAACAAGAATCATAAGTAGTAATTGTTAATCATAATGGAACTAATAATGATTGTAATACCCTGGCAACCTTAGCCTTCCAAATGGCTTTGAATTGGGCCCAGATCCACGAGACTTGAAACCCACGAGAACTACTACTTCTCAAAGTGACGCTTTGGTCGGCTTCTCTTTTTGGGGTCCACAAGCCATCCGCTGCAGAGCTTCACCGCACTTTATCGCGCTTCACGGCATCACTCCTCCGCCTCTCGGCGACTGCGCTGCAGTTCCACGTCCTTCCGTTCAAGCGCCAGACCCATCCGTCCGGCACGGGTTCGGCGCCGGGCAGTTCCAATTTCGACTCACCGGTGAGATCACGGGGCACGGTGTTCAGATGCAAGACTGGGTTTCTTGTGGCCGTGCCACACAGTCTCTGGGCTCGTGGCCTGGGTTTGGATCTGCTGGTCCTTACTCTTGAGACGCTCCTGGCAGGGGTCGAACATGGGGCGGCTTCAGAGCGGGTGGCTGGGGAGTGGTTGTTTGAAGGGATGGACGGAAGTTGGTCTCTTGGACTACAAGAACGCCTTTGCAGTGTTTTCTTGGAACGACCCAACACGAGCTCAGACCTACACCCGCACTTGACACACACAACACACACACACACACTGTTTGAGAAAAATGTTCCAAGGAACAATATTCAAGGTGGATCTCAATGCGCATTAGCCTTTTACATTACTGCATTCAACGTGCGTACTAGCCCTTTACTGCACAACAACGTAGGGGACAGCGTTGAGCAGACTTAGGTTCACAAAGCGCTAGCAGCTAGACGGCTAGAACGAGCAGGTACATGGAAGCGGCGTCCCACTTCCATATCCTCAGGTACTTCGTTGACCAGGCGACGATGTACCCTGCCTGGTCCCATGCTGGCTGTGTGTATACAAGAGTAGTTGGATAGCGTAGGTTAGCATCCCTGAAAACGGTAGGTGACACACACACACACTTTTGGATATGCGTACTGACTGGACAGCGGCGTCACACGCCAGCCTAAGTGAAAAAAAACCTAAGGAAACAGGGCAAGTAAAGTTAAATTAAAACTCGCACCGGCCCTAAGGGCAACCAGCATATAAACTACTAGAAGGGCACCACAAATAGGAGGAGGCCATAGCAACAAGGTTGGAGGCCTGCGCAATAGGTTAGAAGGCCCACAAGACACAAGGCGGCAAAAAATAAAACCAAACAAACAAAAACAAAACCCAAAAGAACCTGGATTGGGACTCCAAGGGTTGCACTGCAACATCATGAAACACTTCGAGATTAGTGCGCGTCATGCCTTTAAACTGCAACATCGTGGTACACTTCAAGATTTGTGAGTGTCATCCTTCAAACTTCAAACAAATCCCTGTGACTACAAGGGGTACACACACACACGCCTCCCCGAGGGGAGGCGTATTGAAGGTGCGGACAAAGTAGTTGCAAGGCCAGGAACCTCTAGTAGCGTCAAAGTAGCGTCCGGGCACCTAGTAGGAAGGCCAGGAGCCCCTAGTAGCATCCCAAGCTAAGGTCCCGACAGGAGGGAGGGGTAGGGAGAGACGAGAAAAAGGAAAGAGAAGAAAGGAAGGTGTTCCCAGCTACGACGCACGCGTCCAAGGACACACCAAAGGGAAGAGAGGAGAAGGGTTCCCAGCTATGACGAAAGCATCCAGGGACACCCAAGGAGGAAGGAAGGTGAAGAGAGGAAAGAAGGAAAGAGAGAAAGAAGAGAGAGGGAGAGAAAGGGAGAGGAGAGAAAAGGAAAAAGGGCAGGTGTTCCCAGCTACGAACAAACGTCCAGGGAGACACCGAAGAAGGAGAGAGGTGATCCTGAGTATTCCATTCAGGAAAACCCCAGAAAGCAAAGAAAGAAAGGGGGGGGAGGGAAGGGGAGGAGGGGGGCTAAGTTCTCCACAGACTCCAATGAGCCTATATAGACAAACTTGGGCCGCTACGGCCACGTACGCCGTGCCAAAATGGCTGGCTGCTTAGACCGCTGCGGTCACGTAAAGGCATAAGCCAACTTGGAATTCCCAATTTGAGACTACATCTCCGGGTATGGGAGATAACGACAAACCCCCGTTCGACGGGTCCACGGAGGCACTCTACGGGCTCATCCCGGGCTCTCACTAGGAGAGACACACTTATGGACTTATGGATATGCGTACTGACTGGACAGCGGTGCCACACGCCAGCCTAAGTGAAAAAAAACTAAGGCAACAGGGCAAGCAAAGTTAAAGTTAAATTAGAGGCCATCGCTAGAAGTTGGAAGCCATCGAGGCCAAAGTACCAAGTTTACAGCAAGCATGTTTACAGCAAGCACGTTTGCAGCAAGCACCTGTGCCCACCCCAACTCTGCAGACTGAATAGGAATGCATCCAGTCGAGCAGAGCGGACGCGCCGGCCCTGAGGGCAACCGGCATATAAACTACTAGAAGGGCTCCACAAATAGGAGGAGGCCATAGCAACAAGGTTGGAGGCCTGCGCAATAGGTTAGAAGGCCCACAATGACACAAGGCTGCAAAAATAAAACCAAACAAACAAAAACAAAACCAAAAAAACTGGATTGTGACTGCAACATCGTGAAACACTTCACGATTAGTGCGCGTCGTGCCTTTAAACTGCAACATCGTGGTACACTTCAAGATTTGTGACTGTCATCCTTCAAACTTCAAATGAATCCCTGTGACTACAAGGGGTACACACACACACGCACGGAGCTTCCGTGAATTCAAAAAACATGGATAACAGCTTAACAAGCCTCTAGTAAGGAAAGAAAGTGAAATAAGAAGACCAAAAGAAAAGAGGAAAAAGTCAAAGCGCTCTGGGCGTTGACACGTGCTCGCGCCGAATCGTCGCATCAAAAGACCCGAGCTACAGCCCAACAAGCCTCTAGAAAGGAAAGCGAAAGGAAAACAAGGAAAGAAAAAAGGAAAGAGTGAAGGAACTCCTAATGGTGACACATGCACAGCGCCGAGTCGGCGATTTCAAAGACCTGAGTTCCAGTGTAGAAAGCCTTTGGAAAGGGAGAAGAAAGCAAAGAAGAGAAATGGAACCAAGATGGAACCAGAAGAGAAAAAATGAATGGGTACATTCCGAGCAAGAGTGCCGAATGAAAGGCAAATTGTTCAAGAACAACTGGACATCACTTGCGCACTGGGCATCAATCACTTGTGCACTTATCTGCTTCCTAGAGCGGTGGATCACTTGCCTCCATACATCTCTTTGACGCTTTAGTGGCAGCTGGGGAGGTGGGGTGTCTTGTGGATTGATTGGCCAATGGCCACATCAAAACATCTTACATCCTGGCGGGGTGGGGGGGTGGGAATGATAGGCCCATGGCTACATCATCACATCTTACATCCTGGCGGGGTGGGGGGGGTTGGTGGGGATCTTATGGAAGGATCGGTTCTAGCCACATCGTCACACCTTACATCCTGGTCGGCGCCTAAATTAACTGTTTGTTTGTTGGTTCCAGCTGGGGCACGTGATGCGCTTGAAAGAAGCTCTGAATTTCTTACCTTGATCCAGTGCACAAGCGATCAAAATTGCAAGTGCACAAGCGATTGCTCGCCCCCCTGCGAGTATGTCCGGCGCAACGTGGGGCACACCTGAAGGGAGAGAAAGCAGAAAACAGAAACACAGCCGGAAGGAAGAAAAATGACTGCGAGGCCAATGTAAAAAATTGGAGATGATGACTTTTCACGTGTGAAACGAATTCAGTAGTGGGTTTTCAGCGAGCTCTGCAGCAGAATTCTGGATACTGGAGTGAAGCGGATCCCGGATCAGTTCGAATAAAATTCAGCATGATAATCGTGTCCAAAACGGACATTCAGGAACAAAACAGGAGGAGCGATATTCAGGGTGGATCTCAATGTGCATTAGCCTTAGCCTTTTACATTACTGCATTCAACGTGCGTACTAGCCCTTGACTGTACTGCACAACAACAGTACTTACGTTCACAAAGCGCTGGCAGCTAGACAGCTAGAACGAGCAGGTACATGGAAGTGGCGTCCCACTTCCATGTCGTCAGGTACATCGCCAGCTTCGTTGACCAGGCGACGATGTACCCTGCCTGGTCCCATGCTGGCTGTGTATAATACAAGAGTAGTTGGATAGTGGAGGTTAGAATTCCTGGAAACGGAATGACACACACACATCCCACACGCACACCGCGTGGGCACCATGATCCAGGCCTCAAAGAGCTCCTGAGCCTTGTTGGAGTCACTGACCTTGACAGAGGGAGGGAGGGAGGGAGGGAGGGAGCGAGGGAGAGCAAAGACCTCAACAAGTCATATCAGCAATGTCATCTTCTAAGACCTCAAAAGACCTCAAAGACTCCCCCCAAGACGCCGGTCATCACCGGACCGTGAAACAGTCGTCTCCCAGCCGAGCTCGCCTGATGTCTCAAGGATTGGCACTCCGTGATGAGTTGATGGATTTCATTCTTCAGCACTTGGATCTCATGCTGATGGTTTTCCAACCTGGACCTCGCGCGATGTTTGGCCGATGTTTGCGTCGCGATGTGTGGAGGTCTTCCTTCCAAGAAGACACCCTCTGGTGATAGGAAATAGGAAAGAGTAGAGGGAAGCTGCTAGTTTCCATAGTCCCTTCGTTTCCAGAGACACACTGCAAACTGACGCAAACTCGTCAAAGCCAAGCTTGACACATACCTCGTCCAATGTCCCAGTGTTTTTATGTTCTGCAAAGTCATACCGTTGCTGCAAATTTTGTTAAAATTGGGACATTCCGTGTTCCCAGAATGGCAGCCCTACACACTCCATCGTCCTGGTTCTGATCCACCCCAAGGTGCCTCTCAGCAAGTTGCAACTCCTGGCAACTTGGAGCACGCAGAGCCAAAGTGGCCTGTGAGATGCATCCTTATGACTTATGACTCGTGACTGTCCTCTAGACTCTAGGTGGGATGGGGGCCCAAACTCCGGACATTTAGTTGTATTTACTGGAAGGGTACAAAGTTACTGGTGGTCCCATCTCAACTTCCTCTCCGAGAATAGATGGACAGCGGGTTGCACAGTGCATCATTGTCAGCCTTTCGGCTGACTATGGAAATTTCCTGACACTTCTACTAGGTTGACCCAAATCAGGTGGGGCGTCCCTAAAGAATGTTTGGATTCGGGTCAACCACCATTCAAAACATCGTTCATCATCAAACCTTCGACCTCGTGAAACGAGCACCTTCGTCTCGACGCACGACGCAAATACGGCGAGTTCTTTACGGACCTCGTCTGGGTGAAACGTGCAGTCCTGCGTTTGGGGTCAGCGCGGAGCGTGTTTGGGTCGTTTGGCTCGTCTACGTCGTTTGGGTCGTTTGGGTACTCGTCGTTTGGGATTGATCACCCAAGACTGAGACGAGACCTCGGTCTAAGCCGAAACCAAAAGGTTTTGCAAATTGTTTGGCGCCTTGTTCTCTTGCTTCAGGAGTTCCAAGGCCACTTGTCGGTCCTGGAGATGCTTGTGAAGCGTTCAGCATACACTTCTGCGAGGATTCTCGCAGAGGAAAAATTGTGTTGGCTGCGCGAGTGACAAAACACCTGTAGATAATCCCAGGCGTGGGAAATCTTTGGAACAAAACAACTTGAAATCCTGGGGTGGGTCCGTTGATTGATCCATACAGTAAATCTGTGCGCTGCTACCACTTCTGAAGATGCAGCAACCGATGAAATCTCTGGGCGTGTGGTTCCCGACCCAACCACGAGCGGGGTTAGACTCTGCAAAAGAAGAGTTAAAGAGTCAAATGATGCAAAATGCATGAAAATCCACAGTTCAACAAATCTTATCTACCTTTAGATTGGACCTGCAAGTGGGTGATTCACCTCATCTCACCTCCTTCCTGTCAACAAAGCAGCTCCTTCATCTCCTGTAAGAGCTCGGTGCACACCTGCTGGCGCTCAAAAAACTTCGACGAGCAACCCAAGGGTTGCCTTGCACTTTTTGAGAGAAACCGTCAACCAGGTCATACTTCAAAATCGTCAAAGATCTTAGAAAGTGAGTTGCCAATCTACTAGAGGGGAGGCAAACCTCTTGCTCCAAAAAAACCGCTCTAGGAATCTGGTTGTCCGAGAGCAATGATTTCTGAAGTAATATCTGAGGTGAATGCTTCACAAACCCAACCGCAGCTCTTACATCAATCCGTTTGCTGATAAATTCTCAAACTTCCCAGGGCAGGAATTGGGACAGACCCCCTCCTTTTTGAAATCCACCCTTTCTTTGATAGATCCATATCGTCCATACCGCTTTGAAACCATTATTTGCATCTTTGAAGTTCTGTCACTGCCACGATGACATCCACACTGTGGCGAGGCAAACTCCTCGCCTTATCAGATCGGATCAATTGCCGCTTCGCCTGACGAGTTGCGCCACCGGCGCGGGTCATTGGGCTCTGGCGAGAAAGGCTGAATGCCGGAAGCGGTCTGAGGCGCCCCGATCACTTGAGCCACGCCCATCTAAAGAGATTGAAGGGGATTGAAGAGCAGGCAAACATAGAAATCCAAGGGCCCAAGGCAATCCGATGAGTGTTCAAAAAGGTCCGAAGATCTCCGGTCAGGCAAGGGCGATGTCGCTTCCAGAAGCATGCCAGAATGCCTTGCGAAGGCTCTATCTGGAATGGCCCATAAGCATGCTAGTTAACGTTGATCAACCATAAGCATTCCAGAAAGACCTCTCTCAAAAATGCATCGAACTAAAGATCTCAAGTCGAAACCCATCATGTTCATCTACCTGGCGAACTGTGAGGTGAAGGCTTTTTCCCCACCCAGGTCTGTGACAAAACAAGTTCTCCAAGGAGTTCATCAGCCTCCTCTCTCTCGGCTGTGAGGTCCATGACCTTCGCATTGAGGACCTGGGCACACCACGTGATGTGCCGCAACTTGCCAAGTAGAGTTGCACTCCGACGAACACATCACGTGGGAGGAAAATGGGATGAACATGGGCCCTGAGAAGCTCTCACTACCATGCCAGTGAGTGAGTGTGTACAGCATTATACCATACGCTAAACTGTTGTATTGATTTGTTTTGTCTGCACTTGCAGCTCGAGCTTGTTTGAGTGGACTCACCCCCCACGAACAACTGACAACCCTAAATGACCATTTGCTGACGACGTCAAGGCTCTACAAGAAGCGTTTGCCAACGACCCGTTTGGTGGGTGTCTGCGATGCCATCTCTACTGGTCTGACCAAAATCCGCCTTCAGTTGAGACACCTAGCCCAAAACACGAATTGCCAGAAGGTCCACGGAGTCCGGCCATGGTAGAACTCACTTTTGTAACCTCTTTGAGTCGCAGGCGCGCAGATCCTCGTCCGATCTTCTCACGCGTTCCCTGTCAACAGCACCCCGCAGTTCGAGAAAACGCACAAGATATCTAGACAACACCGTCACACCTGGTGGCCTAGTGCAAACTACTTACTTGTGGATCCTTTTTGTTTAGCAAACACAACGACATCCACTTCGACCCACCAGCCCATGGCCCATCCCGCCTCAAACTCTCCAGCTCCGCCTCGTCTCGGGCGTGGCGACCGCGCACGGTAGTGACGAGACGAACAGAACCCTCGTCTCGCTCGGACGCGGACATGGACCGTCGGTGTGCCTCATCCGTTTTGAAAGGCTGGAGGGGGTTCATGGAGGTTCCAGGTGTGCGCCATCGCGAGGTCCGGCGCAACAAGGAACGACATCAGCGCCTCATTGGCCTTGGCAGTTGTCAGCTGCTCCTGCAGGCCTGAAATCTGCTGCTGCTGCTGTTCGCAGCGCTGCTCCGACTGATCAAGCTCCACCTCAGAGTTCACGCGCAACACGAACTGCAAAGGTCCATGGGTGATTTGCTCATGACTGGTGGGGTTGAAGGGTCATACCCCCACAGACTCCTACTCTGCAAATCCTGGTGATCTTGATCCTCATCCTCTGCTCCTCTGGAATGTTGAACACCACCCCCTGCGTCACGGCCAGGTATCCCACCTGCATCTCCTCCACACCCTTCTGGAGCTGGAGCTCTTGGCCTCAACGCTGAAGAACCACAGCTGACAGGCCGACCGTCAAAAGTCTCGGTCCGAAAAGCCTCGTTTCCAAGGCGAGCGCCGCTCGCGCTCGCCTTGGGTGTAAACGACCAGGCCTTTTGGGGGGTGTAGCACAGGTTATCCGTCGAACTCGAGCGGTTCAAAACATGTATGTCAATCGCATGATCCACGTGGGCCCACGTTTTCATGATTCAACTCCTGAGATTGGCAACTTCGGGCACTGAGCTGGGGCATGCGCGTTCATGTCTTTGTGCTTTCTCTTCCAAGTTCTTCAACTGAGATGTGGCAAGGGATGACTCCAACCATGTGCCCAACTGGTTCCAAAAGCTCAAGCAAAAAAAACACCAACCATCAGAAATGGTCGTGCAAAGCTAAATGGCAACCTTCCTAGCGTCCTTGCTCCTAGCAGCGATGCCCTTTGTTACTAGTAGCTTCTTGTTACTAGTAGTAATGCCAGGAGCTACTAATAGCGCCCTTGTAATGCGTCCAAGCACCTGAGCCAGTTGAGCTCGCAATCTTTGAAGCTCTCCGCACAGTTGCCCATTCTCCTCACCAGAGCTCAGCTTCTGCCCGGTTTTCCACGTGGCATCGCAGCATGTCTTTCGTCCACTGCCAAAACCGGGCAGGGTCGAAGAAGGACGCACTTCGTAGGTTTTTAGTCCGGCACTGCGTTTTCTTTTGTTGAAAAGGATCCATGGATCATCAAATAATCCATGTTGCTCCATGGATGTGCCAGTTTTGCTCACACTCGATGGTTTCCGCGGCCAGTTCAGGGCGCCTTGCGAAGCTGATCCACCTCCTGGGCACGGAGGTGGAGCTGATCCTCCACATCTGTTGGTGGAGGCAAAGGCTGTAGAAGTCCAGATGAGACCGATGAGACCCATCGATCGATCGATAGACCCATTGGGGTCCATGTGCACTGCCTAGATTGCCTAGGGGGGAGGCAAGCTACTTGTAGCAGGTGATCAAAGCCTCAATTCCCTCATTCTGTCGTGTCATTTAATCCACACCGGTGGATGAACCACCTCTGGTCACACAAGCCCCCCCGCCGCACCAACTGACACGAGTCGAGCCAGAAAATGTTGGGAACCCCGGCTCTGGCCCGATGCTTCTGCAGCCAGTCCAGCTGATCCTTCCAGCGTTTGTAAGTTAGAACGCCTGAAACTCGTCAGAGCCCTTGAAGGGAAATCGTTCTCTGCCTGGGGCCATCACACCGTGACACCACCCGAGAGTCCAAGTGGTGAGCTTCTCCAACGCAGAAAAACCACACCGCGAGACGTCACGGCGAATGCGAGAGTGGCGTCCTGGCCTCGCTCGTCTCCCTGACACGAAAGGGAACACAGCACTGGCAAGTGGCACAGCAGTCTGCCAGCTTAAAGATGGGTTCCGCAAATGTGCCTTTGATTCTGAACCATAGCCAATTCAAGCTGGAATGTGCCAGTTTAGCACTAATTGGTCACGTCCACTAGCTTCATGCAATGCTGTGCCATGCAAGTATCAAAGCGTAGCAACACATGAGTGTCCATCAAACTAAGGGAAGCCCACTAAGAACCTCATAAGAACCTCATAAGAACCTCCAGCAAAGCTCTCACATTTTGACAGGACCACGCACCTGGAGTGGTCAATTTGGCTGAATGTCCCTTCTCTGATCTATACCCGATGTTGCCAGTGCAGCAATTACACACAGGTACTTGAATAAGGCCAGAACACTGCAGAAAGACTTAGCCAAAGTAGCTCAAGTATCTTTGGAGCCCTCAAGCCACCCTCAAGCCACCCTCTATGGCAAGAGAACAAACTTCAACGCGTAGCCTTTGGGGTTTATCTTTTCAGGCTAGCTGCCTGCTTGTACTACGTCTGTGGCTGTCGGTACCCTGGCCTCGTGTTCACCAGCACGGACCTTAGTTCAATGTTCACGAGAAGGTTTCCACTGTGGCCTGCCTGTGCCAGGAAGAGAAGAACTGCTGGGTTACCATCACCCAAGAAAAACGCAAAGACACAAGCTGATGCAAGTAAAGGATTTCTGCGAGAGGAAATTGACCAATTGTTGTTACAAAAGAGAATGGGTACATGAGTTGACATCATCCAAATGGTGGCACGTCCCATCACTTTGTCACATGGTGGTCACACAGGTTCTTTGGCTCTTCTGCAATTGACATCAACTGGTTGTGTTTCTTAGCCGAAGGAGTCTGGCAATGATGCATTACCATGCACTTCATAGCCGTGCTGTTGTGGAAAAAAACGCATGGCAGTGCTATGGACGAATCTGCGACGCCATGCACTTGGACCCTCCGACGCCATCGCCACCACGCCCCTGTCACCTGGGCGACGCAAAAAGGGTCCACCAATTGGCCATGCCATAAAACTCCACAGAAATCCACTTGAAACATCTTGAATCCAAGCTTTCCTGCCAAGGTTCCCTTGTTCCAACCGCGATGGGAAGGAATACGTGCTCTAGAGTGCCAATGGAAACAATATGTCTGAAGGTTTAGGTAGCACTTGAAACTGTGGGGAACCTTTGGATCGAACGGAGGGATGACATGCTTCCCACCTGAAACAGCCAGGCTGCCAAGCAAACGCTGCAAATGCTGCCATTGGCACGGTTTGCATTAGTGTTGTCCACAGTTTTTGGATTTGCGACAGCTCAATTGTCGAAGAGCTCAGCACAAGCAGCAAATGTAACACTTGGCATATGGACCGTTGCGATTTGAGATGTGTTTACAAGCAACTCAAAGCTATTCAAAGCGCATCTCATCAATGCAAGCTCAATAAAGCCCTTGCACGGATTGGTTGTCAGTCTGACCTACAATGCTTTGTATTGTCTACACCATCTACATCAGCCGTGCCAGAACCAGAGCTGCTGCTCGATCAAATCAAGTCAGGAGCTGCGCCGTGCTCTACAAATTCACCAAGCTTACTCCCAGGTAAACACAACCCACCATGTGGACCCAAACCACCACCACCTGCACTCAACAACATTTTTAATGCTCAGAGCGCTTGATCAATCCTGCCAGATGGGCCTGCTGAGTGGCAGCCCAGCAGGCCCACCTTCCCAGCCCAGGGCTTGGTCAAGTAGAGCACTTGGGCTCGACCGCTGCGTTCACAAATCTGCACTTTTCCTTGCAGGACAAGGGGTTCCTGTAGAGGGCTACCCACACGGGCCCACACCCCCTGAACATACAGCAAAAAGGCGTGCGCCTGAGCGGTCGACAGATTCTGGCTGCTCCAGAAGTTGTTCAGAATTTCTTGGTGGAGGGTGGGAGGGAAAGAAATTCAGAACCCAAGGGATGAAAAGCGAAAACGCCAACCAGGCACAACAACACACAGGGCGACTCAACTCTTGAACCATCAAGAACACCAAGTCAACAAAGGTTCGACAGCAAGGGTGTGAGAGAGAGAGAGCCCACAAGAATCCTGCGCAGTAATAAGGAACTGCTTCCCCGGCTCCAGCAACTCCAGGAATTGCGCTGCTCCCGTGGGTCGCTCTCTCCAGAGCTTTGATCCTCTGAGCCAGTACATCTGCTGCTCGATTCATCTCGGCCCTGGCCATCGTGTCGAGGGTGTGGCCCAAGGTCTTCATCTCGCTCTGTGACCTCGTCCCCAGCTTGCCTGCCAGTGATGGGAACATCACGGTCAGCATATGGTTTAGTGCCACTGAGGGCACTTTGCTGCCTCGATCCGCCCCCTCCAAGCGGCTGGCGGCTGGCTGTCGCTTTCTCCATACAGAGCAGCATTCGCGAAGCCAGTCTTCCGGGGCGCCTCCTGCTGTAGCCCAACAATTTCATTTGGGCGCTCTGCGAGGACTTGGAGGAGGCTTTCTCAAAAGACTCCGATTCATCGGTGGAGGCCTCAGAGCTGAAGGCAACACCTGCCACTTCCTTCCGGAATAACTTTAAAAGTCCACGGCCGGGGGCCGGGTCACCGGCACTGCTGCTGGTCCCCGTACCTTTCTTCCTCTTCCTTTCCCCCTTCTCGGGGGCCCTTTCCTTTACTCCCCCTTGTTCTGGACGGTCATGCAGGCTCTTTGCCTTCTTCTTTGCAGGAGCTGGCTCCGAACTCTCACCACTTCCTTTTTCCTTTGATTCTTTTCTCTTTCTTGCTCTTTAGACCTTTCTTCTTCTTCTTCTTCTTCTTCTTCGCTGTCTCTTCTGCCAACTTCTTGCGTTTCTTTTCGTCTCTCATACGACGAAGCTCGTCTCCTTCCGCCTCAGCTTTGGCCAGTTTCTTCTTTAAATCCTTTAGCTTCTCACTGACTTTTCGATCTCTCTCTTCAAAGGCCTTCTCCTCTGTTGATTCCTCATCCTCTTCCTCAATGTCCTCTTCATCTTCGTCAGCTTCATCCCCCCAGTTTACCGTTGGGGGCTTGTTCAAAACCGTTGTCCCCTTCCCGCTGAGCTTTGGGACGTCAAGGTTCTTCTCCTGCCACTTACTGTATTCACCAAACTGTCGCCACAACGACTCCTTCAGGCCCTTCTTCGCGAACAAGGTGAGGATCCTGGCATCGAAGTCCCCGGGACCCACACTTCTCGTCTTGCTGGCGTGGATGATGTCTGGTTTTCCTTTCACTGCACTGCAACTGCAACCACTAACTAGGTTTTTCACAGCACAGGTGATACCAGCCATCGGTTCGGAGTTTCTCTCCCGCTCCTTCCGTGAACGACCAGTCCGACCAGTCTAATGCTCTTCATCGCAGCCAACGTACGCTGCTCGAATGATCTGGTGTCCACCACTTTTCCCATCGATTTCCTTGATCCCGATAATGGCGCTCCCTTGAACTGTTCCATCATCTCCACGGATACCCACCTCCAAATACCGTCCTCGTTGAAGTTCAAGGGAGCCCTGGTCTTTAGTCCATTTTTGTTGGCATCATCCAGGGAGGGGTCACTCACTTGTGTAACCTTTTTTTGCCCAATTGCTACAGCTACCATGCATGGTTTTGTGCTAAACTCTCGTATGCACTTCGTTCTACTTCGTTGCTAGACTCAAGTTCAATAGAGAGAGAGAGAAGGAAAAAAAATATTATATATATATATGATGATTATATATTGAGATATGTGTAATTATGCTCGAAATTGCTCAACGTATTATGAGAACGTCAATCGGCAAGCACATGCTGGCGCAAGATTCTTGCTTCTTTTGATGCCGCTTGCTGGCAAACTAGGGCCAATCCTGCTTGGCTTAATGCACCACCAACCTTTGGGGAGATCAGCCGTACAAGCACCCGTAGTTGCATTTCACCATCCCAATGGATTTCAAACACGGGACCAACCTCATGATGCTAAACAGAAGGTTCCTTGTGATAGAGTGAGCAAAGTCCTAAGATGGTGTGACCACCTCTGCTTCTACGGTATAGACCATTGACGCGTACCAGTCCACGCTCTAGAGAAAGCCCTTTGAACAGTAAGGCTTGCCTGCAGGGCAGAGCAGCCCTTTCATACCCACAGGTATGTGTTGCCTGTTCATCCTGACAGAAACTTATTGGTACAAACTCAGAGCTGCCGCTTTTGACCCGCTTCGTTGGCGGCATCTGCGCATCATCTTTTTCGGCTTGAACCTGACCAAGCCGAGAACTGAGAGAATGAGAGCAACCTACGGAATTTCCAAAAGCCCAAAGCACAAAGTTCAGTCCGACCAAAAAGAAAAGTTCTGGCCTGCCAGGGTGCCTTTGGTGCATCCAGCAAGCCACTTGGCCTCAAAGAAAGCAATGGCCTTGTGCCTAACTTGATGTTCAAAGCTTGACGTGTTGAGTCTGCAATGATGACAATGCTGCAAAACGGACATTCCATACATTCCAACACACAGCCTTTGGCTCCTTTTGAATGGTTTAACTCTAGTTCTCCGCATTTCTTGCATTCATGATTCTTCTTGGCTCATGGCCCACGGCCGCAGCCAATGGACACGTCTCGTGCCAGTTCGACCACCGCTGCGGCCAATCCTGAAGAGTCCACCTGGCGCCACGCGGGCCCCGTTGCGCCTAACAGCATCCAAAAGAGAAATGAAGCTCCAAGACGCTGGAGATGGCTTGCCATCTTCATGAAAAGTTATAGTTAAAGGATGTTAAAGTTACAGTAAGTCTCAGTCAATACTAAATACATTTCAATGTCCATAACAATACTTTCAACTCTCAAAGGTTTCTCGTGCCTGAGTCTGCTCTACGCGCTATGGACCGATCATGAACTGAATCCCTTCTCTATCCTTCTTGATCCCTCCGCCGTGTGGCCCTCCCGGCCTCACGGCGTTGCATCAAGTAGCTGGCCAGCAGGTCAACCTCACGGGGAGGATGGCCGGGTGTCCACTCCAAGCACTTCGGCTGCTCCGAAGCAAAGGAAAGCAACGGGAAAAGAAAAAAACAACACGTCAAACAGCATGAGCTTGGTGCCTGTGAGACCACCCTGAGAGTTTAGAGCTGAACCATGCTCTTGGTTTTGGTCTAGTACGGCCAGACACCACATGCTGCGAACCCAGGCCTCCCTCCATTTTAGCTTCGCAACCACCGCCTCTTCCCAATTTCCGTACAGTGTTTTTCCCCAGTGAGTTTTAGAACAGGAAAGCGCCACTGGCACCACTGGTAAGCTGAACCAAAACGGAAGACCCTTATTCGCCCATTGAGCTCCCCAAACACTTATGAAGAACCATTTTGCCATTGATGAATGAGGTATAATGAGACTATATTGTAAGACGAAAGAGGCATCGGTTCGTCACCATGAATAGGCTATTCATGGTGACGGTATCCGATGCCTCTGTCGTCTTGCTCTACCTCCCCTCCAGCGCCGGTCTCTGCCTCTCTGCTACAGTCAAAGCATCGGCACAGCCCGGCGGTCTTGAATGCAGCTTCGTCCGCTTCCTGGAGGGCCGATCGCTGCGACAGTTTACAACGGCAAAGGAAGAGGAAAAGGACGAAGAGCTGTTCAAACCACAGTGGTGGGCAGTGGGCTTTGCAGAGTTTGGGAGTGTGAAGGTAGATGCACTTTGCAATCGAAAAGGCTTGAAGGAGTGTGGGAGGGCATCACACCTCCCCTGCAATGAAAGCTCAAGCCATGCGTCGGATGGTACTTTGATGTAATTTGGTAAATGCCAGGTGACAAAACCCAACAGCCACCAAAAAGAACAAAGCTCAGAGCTTTAATTCAAAAAAAAAGGCACTGTCCTTTAGACAAGGTGATGTCCCCTTTCTACCGGGGCTCACATTGCTCCTCGCACGGTGTGAGTCGGATCAGTCCGACTTGAGTCTGGACCAGTATGAAGAATGCAGGGCCCTTGTGCTCTCGAGAGAGGTCTTTTTCCCCAACACATGCTGCCTG